GAGTGGAATAAACTTTGTTTTCGTGTAGTAGTTGGCGTGATCGTTGAGCTGGGCGACGTGAATAAACTCACCAATACTAGTGCGGGTTTAGTTACAGCTACAACTGTTGGTTCGGGTTCATCTACAACTTCTTGTTCGACTTCGACTGTTGTAGTACCCCATCTATATATCATCGGACTGTAAAAAGCGCTCATTACTCCTGCAAGTTTAAGTGCCTCTACAACTTCTTGTTCGTCTTCATCTGCTACAACATCTTCATTGTCTTCACATTCTGAAAATTCTTGTTCTGCATCAATAATATTATCATCATCATCATCATTTATTGCTGAACGACGATCGTTACGAGCTCGTTCTGCAATCGTAAAGCTAACCGGAAAGGCCACTAATAATACCAGACGTAAATGCATGATTATCTGAAAAACATCAAATGAAGATGACAAATTTGATAAAGTGTATCGTAGGAATATCGATTCTTTCTCCGAAATTATACTGAATGTATTTGGAAAATATCATAAGAAACGGTTAATTGAGTATATTAACTCTTTACTTATTTCTAGTTGTATTTAGGAGTATTGTTGCATCCAGTCGTATAGTATCTCGCTCTCTATCTCTCCCTCTCTATATATTATGAAAGATCCGAAAGAAAACAGTATTGCTTATCGATCATCTCACGATTAGCAATATCAACATATGCATTGCAGCCGGCTGTTTCGAAAACACAGCAAAAAGTGTTGCCAAATGGCAACATCAGGCTGGAAAGGGATAAATATCGGTTCATTAATAGTTTAACGTGGGAAAGGGCATGTTGACGGACGATGTGAACTATTTCCTAATCCTATAAAATGTTTGTTCACTGTTTTTGTGGTAGGAAGAGAAGTAAATCATTTCGTATAAAACTTTATATTAATGATCTTTTCTGAGCTATAAAAGGCTTTCACATTTCTTATAATGTTGTTTTCTGAAGGATCCTTCCACACAGGTCCGCCCACTTTACACAGAACATCTTGCCGCGAAAATTTCACTTTGCCCGTCATGTAGAGCATCAAAAATAATCTAAAGGTCTTGCTTACGCTTTTTTGAAAAAACGTGTGGAAAGTGGTTTTCTAGACATACAACTACCTTCGACACTTTCCATTTTTCACCATCAGTTTTCCAGAAATCCTCTTAGAAAACTGCGGTACGGAAACACAAAGAAGCCTCAGAAAACGTTGAAGTACATTGAATTCTTCATACTGAACAGGAATATTTCAAAGTCAAAAAATTGTCATTATAATGGCTGTTAAATGACAATTTTCATTCGATTTTTACACAATTAACAGGCCATTTTTTGGCCTGTACTGATGGTGAAAAATGGAAAGTGTCGAAGATAGTTGTATGGGCAACTACTAAGTAGTTCCTATCCTGAAAAAATCTCGAGAAATTTTCGGAGCGTTTAGGAGTAGGGGTGGCACATTTTCTTTACTGATGCGTTACTTTACTGAGTAAAGCAACGCTTTCAAATATCACCGTATGAGTGACGAACAACCGAAAATGTATTGTTTTATCACCTTCCGGACAAAATGCGAC